GGTTAGGGGAGGAGCATAGGCAGTGCATTGGGGGAAACATGCACCCTTGACTTCTGCGCCTACACCAGGCACAAGGCTGCGTCCTAGCTGGACTGTGGCTGTAGCAGGCAGGACCCAGCATGGGAGGGGGAGAACAGGGTGGCAAGACTTGTTGCTTCCACTATTGCTGGGACCCTAACACTAGCCATGCCACCAGCAGTGCAAAGAGTGATGGGAGGTGGGGCGCGCTGCCCTCATCTCCCCCTGTGATCAGCTGCTCGCATACTGGGCCTAGCTGTATCCCACCACCATGGCCCAACCACTGCTGCCACTTCCTTGAGGGCGTGATTCTTCCCCAGAAGGGAGCGGGGGTGAGGAGCAGCACAGCCAGCCTGAGGGGAGTGGAGGCTCAGGCTGCAGCACCATGCCTGCTGTGGGTGCAGAAATTTGTGGGGGGAATGTGAATATCCACCCCCTGCCCCACACACTGGGGAGCTGGGACCTGGGGGTGGGGGCAGCAGGTTGGGAGTGAGGGGCATAGGCAGGGCGGGGTGGGGGTGCAGGTTGGGAGTAAGGAGGGTCTTGAGTTTAAAAAGGTTGAGAACCATTGCTGAACACCACATTTGACCATTTTGTTACACATGCTTGTGCTCGTTGGTTGTACTTTGAGATGTTTTATTGTATATGTACCTTCAAGCAGCAGGCATTGCAGCAGGTGTTGCATAGTCCAAGCCTCTGTGCCGCAATATAGCCCCACTTCATTAGTTCCTTTGAGTATCCAACTCTGGTATGAGACATTGCCACCTTTGCCATGGTTCATCAGCCCTTGGTGGCAAAGATTCGATCACTGGAATGACCATTTTTCAGTCAGGTATTTTCTTCAGCCTCTTGTTCTACATCTGTAGTCATGTCGCCTTGGGTGTGGTATCAAGACGTGTGCTGGTTATGGTCATACAGCAGGTTTACCAATGGCAAAGATGTCACACCTTTCCATTGATTAGGGTGGTCACTCATTTCTTATAGGTTTTGCAGGTGGAAGATGCTGCAATAAAGGTAGGCAGTCATCTGTCCCTTGTTGTCACTAAAGCCAAGATACTACTGGGAAGATGTCTTTAAATACCGGACACAAAAATTGTAGGCAAAGTGGGAAAATGTGGTAGGCTTGAATTCTAGGGGGAAAAGAGTCAGAAGGGAAGGGGAAGGCAGGAGGCTTGGGGAGCATGGAGGGACACTGAGAGGGTCAGGATGCTTGGCAGAAGAGGGGATGACAGGTTGGGGAAGACTAGCAGCGTCTCTCTTATCCCTCTTCCGTAAAGGTGGAGATTCCCATCCAAGCTCCTGGGGCAGAAAGAGTGACTACTTTTCAGTTACCTACTTTGAAGGCATGTTGGAGGGTGGAAAGTATTGCTAATGACTTTTGATCTTAAGTCTCACTTTCAGTTGTGGAAATATTTGCTTGTTTATTGACATCTTGAAAAAAATGTCAGGCTGCGTCACATGTATTATGTGACCCATCATGGTGAGGTGCTATACAACTACAGTTTCTGGGCTTTTAGTTCAAGCACATGCAAATTCGCCTAGGGCACAAGTGTTTGTAGTGCTCTCACAGAACCTGTAGAGGAGTGATTCTCAACCTTTTTTAGATTCAAGGCACCCCTTGGAAAATGTCAGCTCTGATTTTTGACAACAGAAAAATAATAAAGTAATTTTCCCGTTGCAAAATACTCAGAAAGACCACAGCAGGTGAGAAATGTTTTTAACACTGTGGATTCCTATGGTCTTGAGGATTATGTTTCTGTATGGAATGGTGCTAACACTGGGTGGTGCAGCTCCCCTGAAAGGGAATCACTTCTGTAGAGAATTGCAAGACTTCTGCAAATCAGCAAGTAACCCAACTGACTTTCTTCTGTGGGTTTTTTAAAGATAAATCAGAATTCAACTTGTTTGTATATTTCAACAACAGTGTATAGGTTTTAATTTGATAGTAAGTAATGGATTAAAAAAAACACACCAATCTCTTTTCTAGGTGAAGTCTTTTAATATTAAGGCTTTGTAATGTAAATCTACTGTTTTTAATCTGATGTGTCTTATTCTGATGTTTTAATTTGTTCGTCATATTTAAAGACACATTCTCTGAGGTACGTGACTAATGGGAAAACAAGTCCAGTGCAGGTAAAACTGTTCTGCCCACCATTAGCTGGACAGAAAAGAGTGTAAACTAGGGCAGAGGGAAATAATTCTCTCACAATGAGACAAGTCAGGGTAACCTCACCACAAGGGTTCCACCTTGGATATCCGTTAAAGCTGACTGAGTCATATGGGTGAGGACAGAACGGATGCGGTATTGAGGTGTCTGGGGAAGGCAGTTTGAGCTTACAAATAGATGTGAACTCTTCCAGCCATAGTATGGTGTATCATACACATTAAATACTCTTTAAATCTATTTACAGAAAAGAAATGAACTATGCTGAGAGAGTTTGCTGGTACATAAATTAGTGGTAGCTCTTAAAAACTTGGCAATTGCCATAGATAACTTAAGTATATTCAGTTGGATAACCGCAGTATTTGCACTATTCACAGTATTTCCTGTAATCTGGACCCACTGTGTTTGTGATATTGCAGCCATGGCACTTGCCAAAAAGTAGCCCTTCTTCCTACAGAAATGAACCCCGGCATCTGAAGTACTCATTAAACAGCCAATGCATTTCTGGCCTTTATAATTATGAATTAGAAAACATGCACGTATGAATGGAATGTTACTAAGGGGTGGGGTGAGGGAGGATTGCTGCGTGCCTAAGTCTGCAGATAGCCTGAAACAATAATTCTGAGAATTGTGATCTGTTGGTTTATCCTTAATGGTGTCCTGGCTCTGAAATATAATTACTGCACCTCATGAGTTCAACATAGACCATTTCTTTGCTAATAATTGTTGTAGAAGTATCCAGCAATGGGTATGTGCTTTAAGACTTTTAAGAGCTTATTGAATGCCATGGTAATTTTGCCAAATTAATTCCAGACCCTTTTCCCACCCATCCTGAAAAATATTTGATGAATTTTTTGAAACCTGTGTTTCTTTAAAGCTTAGAATACATATGAAACTAGTTACTTCCCTAGTAAACTAACTATGTACTGTAATTTTTTAAAATTGGATAGTAAGCAAATATGCTTTGACTATGGACAGGTGTGCATTTCTAATATTAGGAATGTCTGTTGGCACCTACTATCTGTGCCCATTTACTGGACAAATGTGGTGGCTGCTTATAGCCATAGAGTGCTAAGAGGAGAACTGGGAAAAAAGGTAGACCTGCCTCCACAGGAGACACTAGACTTGCCAGAGAGGCAAGAAAGTTTATGGAAAATGTGCATAAGGAACTCTGAGTGTAGATGTGGATATACCCTTTTTTAAGAACTACTCTCTGCCCCCTGCCCAGTTTACCTTTGCTAGTAATCCTGCCTCACCAGGTCTATGACAAATGATGAAGGTAATTAACTGCGTTAGTATAATTTATTAAGATAGCTGGTATATCTTCCAATACTTCAATTCAGGAACATTTCCTTTTTAAAAGTTACATTAACAGTCAACACCACACTTTGGGTTTTTAAGAAATAATTGGGTGAAATTCTATGGTCTGTATGATGCAGGAGGCCATCCATACTAGAAAATCATCCTAATTTGTTCTGGAACATAAAATTGTATAAATGTGTTTTCTCCTTGGCTCTGTGCACACTTAAAAAGTTTTAGGCTCAGTAACATCCCTGGTCTAAAACCTATTTGCCTAGATGATAGTGTACAAATGGACATTGATTAGTACTTTTTTCCAGACATAAAATGGTGACCATTCTGTTTCCACAGAAAAAACATCTGTCTTCCCTTGTGACTACTCAGTTGGCACATTTTATGTGCAGAGTAGTTCAAATGCAAATTTATTTTTTTAAATGTCAGTCGTGCTATCTGAATTGCAAATATTTTGGTCAAAGAAAACCCCTGAGCCTGCTCTTGTGTGTGCTCAATAAAAAGAACTCTGTCCGAGCAAGAGAATTACGGTAGAACCTGGCTAATCCATCTACTCTTCTCAGCAGAGACATGCATTGAGGTGTACAAAATGTTATGTCCCTCTTTTCCCTTCGAAATATTATATGGAAAGTTTGCTATTTCATTGTGAATTGATATCTGAAATAAAATGAAACTAAAGTTGTCAAAATTAGTGATCAAAGTAAATTTTATTTCTTATTTGGCTATTTTCTGTCTAATTCAGAAAATTGCATAGACTTCAGTGTATGATAGTAATTTAATGTAAACTGGAGAGTTACTAAGTCTGTTTATTGGCAATTGTACTGCAGGTACATAGGTGCACAGCTGTTTTTCCCCCCTCTATTTTTACTTCATCACTGCTCAATTTTTTAAATAACTTTTTATCAGGAAGACAGCAATTTGTAAAAGTGTATGTACAAGAGGGTTCAGAGGAGGGCCACCCGCTTGGTGAGGAGGCAGCAGGACAGGCCCTATGAGGAGAGACTGAAGGACCTAAACCTATTCAGCCTCAGCAAGAGGAGGCTGAGGGGAAACCTAGTGGCTGCCTACAAGCTCATCAGAGGCGATCAATAGCAAATAGGCAGAGCCCTTTTCTCCCCAGCAGCACCTGGGGTGACGAGGAACAATGGTAATAAGCTGATGGAGAATAGGTTTAGGTTAGAGATCAGAAGGCAATATTTTACAGTTAGGGTGGCCAAAATCTGGAACCAGCTTCCCAGGGAAGTGGTCCTTGCCCCTACCTTGGGCAAATTCAAGAGGAGGTTGAATGATCACCTGTCTGGGGTCTTGTGAACCCAGGATTCATTCCTGCCTGTGGCAGGGGGTCAGGCTAGATGATCTGTTCAGGTCCCTCCTGACCCTAGCTACTATGAAACTATGAATGCATTGAAAGACTCATTTCTAAAGAGATGCCACCAGGTTGAATGGACTGTATGTATTTTGTTGAATTACAAAGGGTTTTTTTTTGGGGGGGGGGGGCAATTTTAAATATAGGATGTGTTAATTCCAGCAGCGTTGTGTTGGAGGACAAGAATTGGAAAGAAAAACAGAGTAAAAACGTGAGATTGATTAGACCGCTCTGGCTTCGTTTGTCTGAAGTTAGGCATCATTAGGTAAAAATTAACCAGCATCTGTAGTGAAGATCAGTTTGTTTATAAAACTCTTACATTTTAAAAAGCAGATATGTTAGTATCAGTTCATATTTTAATACCAATTTAACAGCTTTGTCCATTTAACCTATTATTAACTGTAGTTGGTTTCGTTTTGTAAACTTCCCTAAAAAGTTTCTTTAATTTCAGGATTACTTTATTAGAATTGATAATGGCCAAAATAAGTGAGAAGAACCAAGTTACCAGTGAAGAATTGACTGGGATCTTGAAGCAAGCTGACTTTCTTGCAAACTGTTTCCAAGAAAAATGTCAAACTGTGCTTAGATTAACTTCTGCTTCCAAGAATGAAGATGAGGTAGGACATTGAAATACCAAAATGTTAGATGCTTGCAGCTTCTGATTCTATTTTTATGGATGCATAAAATCATAAATATCAGATACTCCCAAATATCCTTTGGTTAGTAAAACAGCTTAAGGGATTTACAGGAGTCTCTTAAGAACCTGAAGAGCATCAATAGCTTCCTTTTGCTGCTGTAGTGAGAGAGAGCCTTTCTACTTAAGGCTAAGCAAGAATTCAGTGCTTTCAGAGTACAGATTCCTCACTAAGCTTTAAATGATTTTTTTTTTTTTCAGGGTTGTTGTGGTGTTGTGTTCAGTTTGTCAGGTGTTTTGACATTTTTATTTATTGGAGACCACTCTTTTAAATTAAAAAATATATTTTGGTCAGGTAATTCAACTTCTTTATGGGGATTTGGAATTCATGTTTAATTTCCATAACAAAATAGTATTTCTGACTGGTTCTAAACTGGTTTGAAACAAAAATAGTTGAACTTAAACCTTGTTAATCCATTATCTAACAAGAGTAACCAAATTAGGTAACAATGATATATAATTAGGGCATGTAAAATATCATATGGAGTTAAGAACTTTTAAACACTGGTTTTAAAAATAAACTGTAGACATTAATAGTTGCATATTGTGATTTTAGAGTTTAGCTTTGATGCGGTCTTACTTTATTTCCTCTGACCTCCTTCCTTCTCTTGCCATAAAATAAAGTCCATTGTCATTTTTCCTGCCCTGTGGAGTTTGTGAAGCATGTTTTTTGCCATGTGGAAGTGAGGACCTCTGATAATCTGGTCTATCTGGACTCATTTGTAGTGGTTTTGCTTTTTAGTTTTCTGTCCTGTTAGGCAAGTAGCTTAAGGACTCTCTTTTACCTTGGCCTGTGCAAGCAGAGGGAGCCTTTGTCACCAGGGCTGTAATATACTGCCTGGTATCTGCTAGAATGTGCCACAGGGCCCTGGCAGACATTGCAAATAAAGGCATGTATGCCTGGCAGGAGGCATGATTGTGGGATCCAGCATCAGATCTTATCATGCTTTATGGCTGGTGCAGGGAGAAACTGGGATCACAATCCTGGGCTTCCCCTGCACTGTCAAGCAGCAAACTCCTACAGTTGGGAGCTCTGTCAGCTGATGGGGTCCAGCTGTGGGGACACACTATGCACCCCCAGGTTAGGAGCCCCAGGCTGATCTGGGCTCCCAACCATGCACCAAGATGTGCCCCTGTAGCTGGGAGCTATCAGCTGATGGGGTTCCCTGCCTTGGGGGTGTACCCTGTGGCTTGAAAATCCAGCCCGGCTACATGGTCAGAATAACAAAACAGAGTACCTTGTCATAGAAAGTACTATCATTTCCTCTATTTCACTCAGTGCCGGCATGGAATACCAGTCTATGTTGCTCTCAAATCTGGTTTTATTGCATTAGTACCAGATCAGTTTAAAATGCATCTAAAACACATGTATCAGAAGCAGCATCAAGTACCACAACAAATAAAAGCCTTTACCTAAGAAGGCTGTAAAGTGTGTGCGTGTGCACATGCACTAAATCCATTCTTTGTATTCACTTCTGCTTCCTTGAGTCAATTTGTATACAATATCTTTTGGTATGATTATGATGTTTAACTCACTAGTTTCCAGTGCCATATATATAGTAAAGGGAGAAAGAATTAAAACAGACTAGAGACCTAATTGTGGAAGTGACACTTTTAAACAAGTCAACTAGCTTTTTTCCAGCAGGAGGAGCACTGTGCTGTGGCACATTTTTTTTCTAATATAATAATGTAGCTGCGAAAGAAATCATCTTGTAATTACAATGGTGCTCTTGCAACCAAATTCTTTTGTTAAAAAAGAAATTAAGGACTGCTTTTGTGATAAATTAAATTTGAAATGGAAGTCTTTTATTTTACGTGCCTTTTTTTGTAAATTTCTGAAACTTACTTGATAATATTTACAGTTATCAGGGGGACAAGAAAGACAATTGCTTATTGAGGTGTAGGTGGAAATGTGTTTCTGTAGGGGTCTTAAGCATAATTCTGTGAGGGATAGGTGAGTGGGAATGGAGGGAGAGGGAGCTTCCAGCATTTCATTCTGGGCCAGTGGTACCCAACCTTCTGGTCCTGTGGGCCATATGGGTAGTATAGTGATCTGTCCACAGGTTTGGATTCCACATGGGGTCAGAGCATGGAGTTCGTTCTTGGATGTGATCCTGCATGTAGGCCCAATCGTGCCATACCCTGGATGTGGCCACATGCCTGGATCTGGCTGCAGAGTGACCCTGTGTGCTATATTATCCAGCCCATGAGACCCCACCAAACCTGGACATTTAGCAGCCTGGGAACAGCATTTAATACTGCTATTTCCCCCCTGTTGCCAAATTTATGGACTCCTGAGGAACCCCACAGATTAGATGATACTGCTCTGCAGGCTGGATGTGGCCCACAGGCTGGTGGTTAAGCACCACTTTTTCTAGGTCATTGAAGGACAATTTATAGTAAGATCTTAAGAGACTGAGCTTCATAGTTTGTTGAAGAACTTAATTGACTACTCCAAGAAAAGATAGTAATCTGACATTAAAGAGAAGCATACTGAGACACTTTCAGCAGTTTTGTATTCTACAGTTATTTTCCTGTGTTCTGTTGTTTCAGTTTTATATATATATATATATATATATATGCTTGTTTCAAACAGGACAAAATCTGTGTCCAACTCTAAGGTACTGGTACAGCAGTATTCCCAATGCTGTTCTCAGCTTTCCTTACAGAGCTCTAAAATCCTTCTTGGCTAAAAACAAATAGTTGTTATATCCATATTATGTTTTAACTTCACTAATATTTGGAGAAAAAGGTATTATGGCTCTGAAATTATATTCACAAATGATTGAGAATATTGGTCAGATCAGCTGAAAACTACTGTTACCATGGGTAAAGAAAAGCACTGACCAAAAAAAAAAAATCCATAAACAATGCACCTTCTTGTTTACAGGGAATACTCAACAAATATTCAACCATCTCAATCAGTATTTTTGTTGATTATCTGAGTATTAATGTTTTTGGACATGTGTTGAACTATCTTCAATTGAAAATAATGGAATTGTTCTTGCAAAGAATCTATAGGAAACCCTCAGGATTCGCAGGTTCAGCATTTGTGGTTTCAAACTCGCGAATGCTGAACCCGTATTTTAAATACACTTTAAACACTTACCGGAGCACCTCAGGAGGTGCTTGCTGCCGCCTCTGGAGCCAGGTCCCCACCCCAGCCGCCAGATTTTGCCATTCGCAGGGATCACGGAAACATATCCCCCATGAATGGCAAGGATTGACTGTATTTTAGTGTTTTCCTCCAAAGAATATCTTTCATAGATCTTGTACCTTCCCTTCAAAGATGGCCAGAGGGTGAAAGAAGAGGCAGCTGTAGCAGCTGCCCCATAGCCATTATTAACATTGACTATGTTAGCATTATGAACCTGCCTTTTTAGCATTGCTCTGCTTCCATTAGTATTTACATATGACTTCCAAGAGGAACAGATTTCCCTAAAGTATTCATGCCCCATTTCATGCTTAGATTTGGGTTTGTTTGTTTTTTTGGTTTCTTTTATGGAGTTTGCTCAAATTTTAGAAAATATTTTTCCCCTCCCCATCATTTCCTGATTTGCTTTTGCAGAAGAGGTCTTTCATTTTAACTCATGCAAAGCTGTTGGATTATGAATCCTAATAAACAGTGGCTTTGTAGAGGAATTATATCTCTTTTCAAATGGGCACTGCATCATTAACCTGTACAAAAGATTTTGCCAAGTGTCAACAAAGGGTTGTTTAAAGTATACCTTGTATAAAATTTGATAATCAAGCTGTTCCCAATATCAGGCATTGCTCTAGGCCCATGGTTTTCAACCTTTTTTCATTTACAGATCCCTAAAAAAAAAAAATGTAAATGGCGGTACAGACCCCTTTGAATTCTAAGTGTGGGTATTCATGTACTTTTGATTGATTGTAGTCATCTTTTGTGGACCCCTCAGGGATCCATGGACCACAGGCTAAAAACCACTGCTCCAGGCGCTATTGGCTTGACCCAGATGGTGAAATGGGAAAAGGCCAGAAACAGGAAAGGCAGGAATACAGATTTCTAGGAAGCTATATATAAGGGACAGTGAACAAAGCCATTTTTCCAATGTGTTGAGCAGCTAGCACCTTTCTTGAGCTGCTGGATGCTCAGTGGTTTTGAAAATCATCAGGCCACCTTATTAAATATAGATTTAGGATTCTAAGTTTAGGCTTCTGGTTTGGTTTCTGTTTTTGGAAAGGGGGGGCGGGAATTTTGATCTATTAAATGTCTGAATTTAACTTTTTTGGTTATGTGGTGTGAAATAGGTGGGACAGTAGCAACATACCTGCCTACCATTAAAACTGTTTGGAAAGTTTTGCTTTATGCATAGGTATACCCCTATGATTTGGATCTTAGCCAAGCAAAATTGTACCAAAAGTCTTTGCTGAAAAAATAGATGTAGGGAAAGTGGCTTAGAATAAGAGCTGTCGCAGTTCCAGCCATAGAGATTCCTGAGGAACACGTTTGCCATATATTCTAGTTCCACAAATAATAGCAGTTGTCTTAATAATATTTTGCTGGTCATAATGTTTAAAGGTATCTCTAGATATATTTGTCCTCTTTCTTAAGAAGTATTTAAGCTTTACAGATGTTAAACACAGTAAGTGAAAGTCTTTTACTTAAGCTTCCTTGTCACAATGGAAAATGGGAGCTTGAGATGAAAAAAAATCCCCAAATATTTTGCTAGCATTGAAATACAATTGTGTTCTATTAGTTCTTCTCACTGAGCTACTTAATTGTTCAGTAGTTCATTTTTTTTCTCTGTGATTATGATTTATTTATTTTGCTGTTAAAAGCGATTTATAGAGTAATTTTGATCTAGATTGTGATGTTGACCCTATGCCTAGAGTTACCATATATCTAGGTTTTGCCGGACACATCCTCTTTTGGATCCTTTAATCTCCCTCTGGGTGGTTTTTTGAAATCTGAACCAGTGCCTGGGATTTTGTTCTGCTCCACTGGCGGGAGTGGGGAAAGGGGGTTTGGAGGCAGTGGACTCTTGTGTATCTGCGTGCGTGTATGCTCATGGCTGGCATGCAGCCAAGCCAGGTCATGGGAGCAGCCCCAGCAGCTGGATGTAGGTAAATTTGTGGGGGGTGGATATGGGAGGGTCAGGGCTAGGGGACTGTCCAGGGGGCTGTGGAGGGGTGTGTGTGTGTGTGTGTGTGTGTGTGTGTGTGTGTGTAGGGGATGAGTGTGCTAAGGGGGTTGGTGTCTGCTGGCACTGGGGGAAGCTGCCTGGGCACTGGGGCTGCGGTAAGGTGGGAGGGTGTGGGGGAACAGCAGTGAGCTCTGTGGCCAGGTTGCCAGCACTGAGGCCATTGCCTTTGTTCATGGGGCCTGGCCACCTGGGAGTTGCTGCCCAGGGATGCCATACCCAGGCCACCTAGGGTGGCACTGGAACCCCAGCGCAGGGTGGGGGGTGTCACGGGCATCTATCCTGCCTGTTCCAGGGCTGGACTCACTGTGCTGCCTTCTGCACAAATTGGTGTTGCTACGCTCTGTCCTGGTCAGGATGGGCACAGCTGGGGGCCCCCTCCAGCAGGACTGGGGTGAGCAGAGGGCTGTGGGTTGGGACTGAGGGGCACCAGCATAGCCTGGGGGGTGAGGGACTATGGGTCAGGAGTGAGGGGCACCAATACGGCCAGGGAGCTGCAGGTCGGGAGTGATGGGCAGCAGCAGGCAGGGGGGCGGGCATCAGGATGGGAGTGAGGTTTCCCCCCCACAACAGGTGTCCTCTTTTTTGGAACTGGAAATATGGTAACCCTACCTACACAAGAAAATAAAGATATACAGCAATATTCCCTTATCCTTGCAATGGCTTCATGGACCTTGAATACGTGCCCCGAGGTATAAGTAGGTGATGACTGTTCATTTACTTTCCTCTGGATGGGCATGAAAGAGTGGGGAATGGCTCTCAGCATATTTGTAACATCCCTCTCCCAGCCAGGGCTGTGTAGGGAACACTGAGTAAGCTGTTGTGATTCTCCATGTAGCTAGTAGCAAGTTGTCCTCTGCTTACAGCAAGAAGGAAAGTAAAGAGAAGAAATGTTACTAAAGTTCTTTTTTGTATCCTAGTATTGCCAGGGGCTGGTCCTGGGGTGTTGTACCTTCCATTCTGTCACTTAAATGCAGTTTTGTTGAAGTCATAATCCTGTCTTCACTTCCTGTCATCTAGAATAATAAAAAGCTCTATTTTTTCTGTAAATGATGACTTTTTAAATTCGTAGTGCCAGAAAAGATCAACTTGGCTACTGAGAGCCTAGCCGAAGAAATAATTATCTGGTTGAATCAATAATATGCAAATAAGATTTCTGTCTTTCATACCCAACCAAACTTTGCATCTGTAATCCCAAATCATATTTACCCAAGAATAATGTAAATTCTTGCAGCCAAAGTTCATTTGACCGCAAACTTCTTTACAGGATACCTGCGGATAACAAATTGGTGTCTTCCAGGTGGTGTTTGTGTCTTTAAAGTGGGACACTTGCATTGGATAAACTCAAAGAAAGAAAACATTTGCACAGAAGTAATTTTCTCAGTTAGTAATTTTCTGTATTCCTACTGTTGAAAGATTTTACTGACTTTTTGTTAAAACTCTATCCTTTATGGCAGTGCGTTGCCTAAGCTGTCATCCTTCAGAGAAGAGATAACATTGCATTTGTCACTAGCTGTATGGAAGAAATTTTTAATTTTAATATGTTGTTTATGGGTTTGGGGGAGAGGGTCTTCTTAGGTATAGATATCTTTTGACAATTTGCAAGAATGGCACACAAGTGGACTTGGTGCTGGTCCTTCCTTTTTTGATAGTTGATGGTTTTCCGTTAACTTTCTGACCTTAAAATCAGATTTATCAACAAAAGTATGTTGCATGTACTTCTGTGTTCAGAAATGTAGCCTTTCCTTTACAGGAAGCACTGGTTACAATTCGGCTCCTTGATGTTCTCTGTGAAATGACTTCAAACAACAGACAGCTAGAACATCTGCAAACTTGCCCTGGTTTGCTTGAGACGGCTGTTGGTGAGTTGGAAAGCCACGGGCTTTATTAACTACTGGCAGGCTTCAAAACTCTATAGTGCTGAGCATGAAAACATGTTTTTCACAAGTGATGGTAATTATGATTCTGACCTTTTAATAAAATAAATAAAGCATTGTATTAATCCACATTTTCAAATATTTGATTTGTCTCTGAACTTTCTGCTGCTCTACTGGCTCAGAACCTCATTACCTCTCTTTGCCCAAAGAGCCTTTATTCACCTCTCTGCAGTGCTATTTATATGATTAGGTAACAGACGACAGTTTTCTATGTTATTACACTGTCTGAATGTATGTTGAAGAAGTTCCTCTAAAAGTAAAAAAATAATTGGACTTGTCTTGCATCTGCCTTTATTTTGGAAGCTGAAATAGAATATAGCACTAAAGTACTCATTAATTAAATCTATTTACCGTAATCAGTTCATCATTAAAATAAAAGCCTTGTACTCTAAAAGAAAACTTAAACCAGTCAGGAGAGACTGCCGTAGGGGAGGAGAGTGAAAAACTGAACATAGTAACTTTTGCCCTTCCAAAGTTAGTTGAACTTCATGTTGCTGTACATAGATGTTCTATGTAGCCTATAAAGCTCTGATGTTAATGTAAGAAATATTTTATTGAACATTTTGCGCTGACTTCGGAAGCTTATATGACTCAATTGATATATACAGAGACCTACCAAAAAGTCATCTAGAGCAGATCTGTTTCACTGTACACGTTCACTTGTCTTCAGCTAATTTTTAGCAAAGCTCGAAAGTTTATGTTACCACTTCCAGAAAGGAGGGGACTCATGCTAAGATGCACTTAACATCTTGAAAAATCACAAAATATCTATGTGAGTCATCTTCTTAGCAAAGGCACAGAAGGAGAATTCTGAGGAATTAAAGATCATTCCATCAGTCTTACCAATTTATATTCCAGGACTCTTCCCACTAACTGTGTTCGGGTTGACTTTTCTGCATAGCTGTCTCCAATCTAACTAAACACAGGTGCAGGCTAGAACATTGTAACCATGTATCACCCTTTATAGTTTGCAGACATTTCAAGCTGATAGGAAAAAAAGCATCTCTCATTGATTCTATATTAGTCTACATACATGCAGCAAAAGTCATTTGGTTGTTGCAGGATTAGCTTAAGTGTATAAGACTCAAACAGTGTACAGCACTACTAATGTTTGTAGTTAAATCTTAAAGTAAGAACGTATCTAAGGTTTGGGATGATGGGGAACAAGCGTCACCAGATTATGAAAATAAATCTTTTGATCTTTTCCCCCCCTTAGGTAACATATTGCAAATGACTTTGTATTCAAATTAATCCAGGTTACAGAAGAGTTAAAGTTTAGAAAGGATCAGAAAAAGCTTTTAAATTCAATACAAAGTTACAATCAAGATTTTTTTTTTTCCTACCAGTGTTGCTGGGCTTTTGGTTATAGCTGTGTTGGTCTGAGGACATAGATATCACATCTACTCAAAGAACCTTGCCTGCCTTTTTTCCTACCAGTTGCATTTAAGCACAGGACTAAGTCATGCATTAATGTTACTGATTGATTTCCATTAGATCTGTTTGTAATTTTCAAGGCAGTATGTTCAGAGCCCAGATAGCTAATGCATATCATTTATTTGGAGCTTAGTAGTACTCCAGGAGAGATGGCTGTTTTGACTGAATGTCTGACTAGGCTAGTGGGGTTCATTCAGTGGCATGTGGGGCATAGTGGATGGAAGCAATTTTTTTTTTTTTTTGAGTCAGAGAAAAAGGTTTCCTAGGAGACAGCTACCACATGCCATTTCTAAGCCTTGAAACAGTAAAATCCTGCCATGCATGGTGGCTGCCAAGGCTTCTTCTCTTCCTGCATCTCTCTTTCTTTAAGAAACATTGATCATTGCCTTTGCTTCCTTGTAGTGAACTGGGGAGGCTTTCCCCCTCATTCGTTGCCTCTTGTTCCCTTTCTGTAAAGGCAGTATGTTTCCTTCCCTTTAAGTGTAGGATCAAGCACAGGAAAGTTACTGGAACTCTCCCTTATGTGTTAGTGTTTGGAGAATGCTGAGATATGTGAGAGAGAGAAGAAACACAGCAGGTCTAGAAAACAAGCTAAGAGCAGGGAGACAATTTTAATTAATTTAAAATTGGTAAACAAGTTTGAGGCCAAACAGAATTGTTGGCTGTCTTGGCATTATTTGTGGGGCTCAAGCTTTAAATAACTGCCATCTTT